AGCATATAATGCGTGTCTCTGTCGTTCTCTGCAAGTTTCTCAGCAGATTGGTTGACTGAGTCAGGTGTTTGGCCTCTTCAATAACCTTGGGCTTGAATGTTGTCTCCCACTTCTCAAGCCTCCTGGAGGCTGTTTCGACACCAAACAGCAGCCGGAAGTCTCGATTTAGCTGTTTCAAATACATTAAGCCAATGGTCAGTGCACTGTACACTGCTTATGTCTAACAAAATTAAAGACTAGAGTGTAAAAGGAAATACTCACTAGTCCTATAACATCTAAAAAATGTGGGAACGTTTCAAAAACATCTGTGGTTTGCTGTGGGTCATGCACCAGGCCTGGCAAAGCTGCAAGATCATCACCTTCTGAAACACACTTGTTTCATCAGGACAGTTAAACAAGAAGTGATACAGCCCTGCAGGCATCTTCATCAAGCTGCTGATCTTTGGCGGTTTGGGCCTTGTGCTTGAGGCACTGTGGCTGGCTGTTGAAATATGTTTCTGGACATGGTCTTGAGGTGCCATGCTAAATATCCTGTGCCTGCCCCCCGCTGCATAGAAGTGCTCTTGTTAAGGCATTTTCAAAAACACAATTGCAAAGGTCCATCATTCATTGATCCCACAGGAAGAGCTATTCGGGCAGCATGGTGAATGAAAGTGTGTTTCAAATGTATGTGATTTAAGTGTTAAAGTTCTCCTTACATCTCCTTACTTGCATCTCTGATAAAGAAATACTTCTTTGTGGGGCCAGGTGGCTGTAAAAACCCTGTATAATCATTTCATTCAGACCCAATGGGACCTGCCCAAATGCACGCACTATGCACGTGTACTCACTCATTTGCCCATGTGTGGAGCCCGTCGTATGTTTGTTAAAGAGCCTGAATATGGGTGGGTTTTCCGAGAGTAAAGTGGGGTTTGCAGTTTGTTTTTAGCGAGGGGAGGCTGTGTTGTCAGCCTGTCTAGCTAACAGTTTGGGGACTGGAAACAAGCAGTGAGTGCCTGTTCTTTTGTTTTGCTGTGTTCTGTGGTGAGTTTGAAAATGAAGCCGAGCAGATCAGACCCGAGACTCTGGAGTTTCTTTATGAAACAGTCCATGTTACAGTATTTGTTATGTGAGTCTATATTGGGTTTGAGTGGGACGTTTCACAAATTATACGCTGTAGCCAGCTAAGTTATCTGTACTTATGAGAAAGATTCTTCAACTTCCACACCTTCGAAGCATGGATTTGTGAAATCTTCACCCCCGCTGTTTCCACCAGTTTTTTCAGGGTCTCTTTCCGACGGGTGGTCTCTCTGACATTACTAATCAGGCTGTGCACATTTGTGTTTTGAGGGAGTAGTTTTAGAAGGAAGGCTGAAAGTAGGGGGTGGGATTTTTTGTTTGGATTTTTTAAAAACCTAGATAACACTTCATGGTTTCCATAAATTCACCTTCTCCACCTTTAAATTTGGGCATCCAAATTACACAAACAGCTAACATGCAAAACTAAATTAGCTACTATCCACCAGCTTCATTAACACATATCAAATCACATCACACTCCACTTGATGTTAATCCTTAGTTTATGTAACGATTAACATCTTGTATAAGTGAATATATTCAGTCGTTACCTTTTTAAATCATATATTCCAGGCGCTGGGTTTTCTCAGCCTTCACTGTGAGCTCAAGAAAAAGCGTGACTTAAAACCAGATGTGGAATTAACTCAGTCAGGAGTTTATGCAGTTAATTTGCTTAAAGATCACCACCACCAGAGTTAATTCAGCACTGCAGGAGCTCAGTTAACACCCAAATCAACACCCATCAACACGAAATAATTTTCACTGGACAATTAACACCAGTTCACATTCCTGATTTTGCAGTGTAGTGAACTGACCATCTGAGAGACTCAGGGCTATTAAAGCAAGAACCTCCCAGTTTCTTTGCACTGACTGTAAGATGGTTCATGAACTGAACAGCTCTTCAGTCGTTCCATCTTATTGTTACAGTGTTTGTATCATGACTATGTGTTCTGCATACAGATCCCACAGTAGCCCACATTGTTATATGTGTCTTAGTGAGGATTATATTTGAAGATTGTTCTGTAAGGAGTCAGTGCAGAGCTCAGACTGCTCAGTGTGGATGATTTAAGCCTTTATTTCTGCACTGAGAAAGAGCTCTTACCTCTCTGTGCTCATCTTCTGCTATAAGCTCTTTGTTCTGAGTCTTCCCACACGTTCACCCACCCAGATGTGTAAATTATCATTATAGTGAAGATAATCAGCTACAACTTCAAAACTGAAATAGATTTAGTTTATTTCTGTGTTCTGTTGTAACAGCTGTGTGAACTTATCGACTGTCTATAAATTACATTGCAAATAATGATCATTCTCCAAGCATGACATGCTGTTTTGGAGCAAGTAGAACATAAAAAATGGGCTGAGTGACCTCTGTTTATAATAGATGTGGGGGGTCAAAAGAAGATCTCTGACAAATTTCATACATGTTGAACGTTTGGTCTTAGCATGTTAAGAAACATATTTATTCTGATAAAGTTAAAATAGTCAGAAACAGCACATGGACATGACCTGTATGTGTATCTCAGTAAGCTAAGTGATTCCACAGTAATTGCTGTATTGTATTTTCTCAGAGTTCATCAAAATACACCAGAATTTCCATCTTAAAATCACAAAAACTGTATACTGGAACAATGCTGCTGCCCCAGTACAGCGGACTGGTTTCTAAACTTCTCACCTTTTTTGATGCTCATGAGTTTTCATGTCTGTTGGAGACACATAACTGAGTAAAATGTAACCCAACTCAGTTAATTTTTATGCAGGTATGAGTGCACAATAATACAATAAATAACTATGAATATTATTATTAGGATCTAGATAGCACCTAGATAGAAGCTAAATAGCTAACATACACACAGAGGTGGGTAGAAACCAGGGTTTGGGGACCCCCAGCAGGGTGTCATGTATGGCCCCAAAATGTTCAGAAGATCTAATTTATTATTGCAAATATATAGCCAGCTCCATAATTATTGGCACCCTTGGTAAATATGGGAGAAAAAAGATCATTAAAGCATCATTGTGCTTAGTTCTCAGTCTCACACTGACAATAAGAGATAAATCTAATGTCGTGATGTTTATGAAGTCAATTTGAAGTCTTACTGAAACCTCTAGCTTAGCCAATCAGTATTTCATACCGGATTCAACTAATACCACTTTGTCTGTGTTCTTATTTATAAGGGTTTCTAAATAAAAACTGACATAATTATGAACTGTTACATACATAATGAGTGCTCTGAAATTGATCAATTAAACAGGGAGTTTTTCCTACTGTGTGGAAGTTTGCAGTAATCGCACATATTCACAAACCAGAAAATCACATTGATATTAACATTGATATGACCTACAGGCCCAGAAGCTCCTCCCTGTCTGATCTAAATTTGCAGGAAAATGGGCAGCATTTATTAACAGCCCGTTACTCTCATCCTTTGCAGTTCAGTTAGGAGGTATTACTGCACCAAATCTGCTAATTGCTATTTGTATTATTCATTTATTAATTAATTAATTTATTTATTTATTTATGTTTTAAGGGAATGAAAAAATCATGGTTGGTGCACTTTTTTATTTAAGGAAAGCCAGTAAATTATAACATTTTACTTGACAGGTTTTTAACTTGTTAATATATTACCAGCAACTATTAAACAGATGAAGTCTTTTTTAGAAAAGAAAGAAAAGCGTATAAATATATAATTAATCATCTACATACTTAAATTATGGGGTCAGACTTCCACAAGGGTCAGTTTTGAGTCCACTGTTATTTAGTTTATATGTCAATGACTTTCCCGACGTCTGTCATCCTGCTGTTACTTGTCAGATCTGTGCAGACAACAGTTATTTATGTGCATGTAAACGATAAGCAGCTTTTAGATGCAGTGATACAGACACTGATTTCAGACAGAATGATCATTTGAACATTTGAATGTTGAAAATGAATGAGAAAACTATCTGTATGATTTTGTAAGTTAGGTTGATGCTAATATTGATCCAGAAGTATTTATACAAGAAAAGAAGTTTAGAGTCATGTGTGAGTTTAAATATCTAGAGGTGAAACTGAATTCACAGCTGTCTCTTAAAAAGCAAGTAAAAAAACAAAGTGTAAAATGGTTAAATGTAATTTTTAGTTTATTAGATTTAATTTATTATCCTCATATCACTTATCATAAAACAAGCTGGACACAGACATGTTAGACTGTTCTTAAGCCATCTGAGACAGTATATAAACAAGCTTTAAAAGCCTTTGATAAAAAGCCAAATCAGCATCATTATTGTAATAATTTAGTCAGTCTTACGTTTTAGTTTTAAAATCCTAAATGGTCTCATCCTTTTAGTATTTGGAGAGTTTGATTGTAGGATCAAAAACAGGTCATCAAGGGCGATTACAAAAGACGACTGCATAATACCATTTAGAAAAGTGCTTTTGGTCAGTCTGGATTTTATTTTCACGCATGATTGAAATTCTCTCCCTGCTGATTTAAAATATTTTACAATCAATGATTTGTTTAAAAAAAAAAGGAAAAGATTAAGAAATGATTACTGGAGACTCAAACCTGCCAACATAATGTTTAATTATATAATGCTTTTGTGTTTCGTGTGCATTTGTGTTTTTTGAGTTTAGTTTAATGTGTTTTGTAATTAAGCATTTTAAATATTGCTTTGTGGTTTTGATTTTGTCAATGTGAAAAGCTTTGTTTACTTTAAATTTTATACACTTCATAATCTCTGTTTGTGCCTTCAGTTTGACATTAAAATATGGCAGAGAGAGAGAGAATGTGCATGAGTGTAGGAGAGAGAGTGTATATGAGGGAGAAACAATGTACATGTGTATGTGTGTGAATGTGGTTATAGTTTTATGTAGTGTTGAACTGAGTGTTGCTGTAATATTCTATTATTCTGTTTGTGTGTGAAATTATGTTTATGAATGTTAAAGATGTGAGTTTTTCTTCTCTCTACAGTCTGTCTGACTGCAGTATTACAGAGGAAGGCTGTGCTGCTCTGGTTTCAGCTCTGAAATCAAACCCTTCACACCTCAGAGAGCTGAATCTGAACAGCAGTAATCCAGGAGAGTCAGGAGTGAAGCTGCTCTCTGATCTACTGGAGGATCCACACTGTAAACTGGAGACACTACAGTGAGTTACTGAATTACTGTCTCTGTATAAACACACAAACACACCAACAGACGATGTTATGAGAACGACATACAAAACAAGGTGGAAAGTACTGAAAAACATCATTAGATACGTCATTATATATGTAATTAAATAACAATTACAAAGAGCCTTTTTTTCTTGCACCAACTTAAAAATGTGGGGTCTTGAGGCAAAGAGTGTCACAGATTTATAGAGCTATGATAGAAAACATGCTCACCTTCTCCATCACTGTGTGGTTCAGGAACTGTGAGCTCTGCCTCAAAGATCATTGGTAAACTGTAAAATCCTCTGTGTTAATTTCACTCGCTTAGTGTTAAAATAAACACCATCCCAGTGTTTATATGATTCTCATCGGTTTGGAGTTAAAATTACACTTTGGACAGTGTGAAAATTTCAACTTATTAATAGTGTTAAATTTCTAACACTCACAGTGTTTTATGACACGTAAAAGAGGACTTTTAACACTGAATTGTGTTCTTCCCTTTCAGTAGGAGTGTTACTTCCTGACACTCACAGTGTTGTTTTATGACACAGTATTTTTTTGAAGAGTTTACCTCCATATTAATGTTTGCACTGCACTTCCACCATGTTTTCACCAAATATGAAAATGCTTCTAGACTCTCCTGCAAGGCTACAGAAAATCACGATGAACACTCATCACGCTGTAAATCTCCTTATTTTCTGTATTTACATAGATTTACAAAATGTGTTGCCCCACAAGACTTAAGAACAAGTATAATAAATCATTAAAACAAACCCTCATTAAACTTTGATTCAGGAAAAAAAAACTTCCACCATGGGGATTGTGCTCAACTTATATATGCACAGTTACAAAGAAAATAAAGACACTAATCTCACACACACACATACACACACACACTCTGTCTCTCACACACACACACACATGTATACATACATACATACACATATATACACATATAATCTTATCTCCACCTTGAGCACTCTGTAAGTCAAAGGTCTTACTTGGTAGACATGAAAATGTTCACATCGATGTTTCTTGTTGTCTGCAAGAAAGTGTAAAGCTGGGCCAGGGACTCATCATAAGACAGGCTGAACACATAGTGGCTTTTAAACAGTCCATCAAAAGCCCCCCAACAAGCTGGTGGGATGAGCTGTTTGTCCACAGCATGTTTCCACATTGTTTCCAATGTGGAAAGGATCAATTTCTCAGCAGATTGGTTGACTGAGTCAGGTGTTTGGCCTCTTCAATAACCTTGGGCTTGAATGTTGTCTCCCACTTCTCAAGCCTCCTGGAGGCTGTTTCGACACCAAACAGCAGCCGGAAGTCTCGATTTAGCTGTTTCAAATACATTAAGCCAATGGTCAGTGCACTGTACACTGCTTATGTCTAACAAAATTAAAGACTAGAGTGTAAAAGGAAATACTCACTAGTCCTATAACATCTAAAAAATGTGGGAACGTTTCAAAAACATCTGTGGTTTGCTGTGGGTCATGCACCAGGCCTGGCAAAGCTGCAAGATCATCACCTTCTGAAACACACTTGTTTCATCAGGACAGTTAAACAAGAAGTGATACAGCCCTGCAGGCATCTTCATCAAGCTGCTGATCTTTGGCGGTTTGGGCCTTGTGCTTGAGGCACTGTGGCTGGCTGTTGAAATATGTTTCTGGACATGGTCTTGAGGTGCCATGCTAATATCCTGTGCCTGCCCCCCGCTGCATAGAAGTGCTCTTGTTAAGGCATTTTCAAAAACACAATTGCAAAGGTCCATCATTCATTGATCCCACAGGAAGAGCTATTCGGGCAGCATGGTGAATGAAAGTGTGTTTCAAATGTATGTGATTTAAGTGTTAAAGTTCTCCTTACATCTCCTTACTTGCATCTCTGATAAAGAAATACTTCTTTGTGGGGCCAGGTGGCTGTAAAAACCCTGTATAATCATTTCATTCAGACCCAATGGGACCTGCCCAAATGCACGCACTATGCACGTGTACTCACTCATTTGCCCATGTGTGGAGCCCGTCGTATGTTTGTTAAAGAGCCTGAATATGGGTGGGTTTTCCGAGAGTAAAGTGGGGTTTGCAGTTTGTTTTTAGCGAGGGGAGGCTGTGTTGTCAGCCTGTCTAGCTAACAGTTTGGGGACTGGAAACAAGCAGTGAGTGCCTGTTCTTTTGTTTTGCTGTGTTCTGTGGTGAGTTTGAAAATGAAGCCGAGCAGATCAGACCCGAGACTCTGGAGTTTCTTTATGAAACAGTCCATGTTACAGTATTTGTTATGTGAGTCTATATTGGGTTTGAGTGGGACGTTTCACAAAATATACGCTGTAGCCAGCTAAGTTATCTGTACTTATGAGAAAGATTCTTCAACTTCCACACCTTCGAAGCATGGATTTGTGAAATCTTCACCCCCGCTGTTTCCACCAGTTTTTTCAGGGTCTCTTTCCAACGGGTGGTCTCTCTGACATTACTAATCAGGCTGTGCACATTTGTGTTTTGAGGGAGTAGTTTTAGAAGGAAGGCTGAAAGTAGGGGGTGGGATTTTTTGTTTGGATTTTTTAAAAACCTAGATAACACTTCATGGTTTCCATAAATTCACCTTCTCCACCTTTAAATTTGGGCATCCAAATTACACAAACAGCTAACATGCAAAACTAAATTAGCTACTATCCACCAGCTTCATTAACACATATCAAATCACATCACACTCCACTTGATGTTAATCCTTAGTTTATGTAACGATTAACATCTTGTATGAGTGAATATATTCAGTTGTTACCTTTTTAAATCATATATTCCAGGCGCTGGGTTTTCTCAGCCTTCACTGTGAGCTCAAGAAAAAGCGTGACTTAAAACCAGATGTGGAATTAACTCAGTCAGGAGTTTATGCAGTTAATTTGCTTAAAGATCACCACCACCAGAGTTAATTCAGCACTGCAGGAGCTCAGTTAACACCCAAATCAACACCCATCAACACGAAATAATTTTTACTGGACAATTAACACCAGTTCACATTCCTGATTTTGCAGTGTAGTGAACTGACCATCTGAGAGACTCAGGGCTATTAAAGCAAGAACCTCCCAGTTTCTTTGCACTGACTGTAAGATGGTTCATGAACTGAACAGCTCTTCAGTCGTTCCATCTTATTGTTACAGTGTTTGTATCATGACTATGTGTTCTGCATACAGATCCCACAGTAGCCCACATTGTTATATGTGTCTTAGTGAGGATTATATTTGAAGATTGTTCTGTAAGGAGTCAGTGCAGAGCTCAGACTCCTCAGTGTGGATGATTTAAGCCTTTATTTCTGCACTGAGAAAGAGCTCTTACCTCTCTGTGCTCATCTTCTGCTATAAGCTCTTTGTTCTGAGTCTTCCCACACGTTCACCCACCCAGATGTGTAAATTATCATTATAGTGAAGATAATCAGCTACAACTTCAAAACTGAAATAGATTTAGTTTATTTCTGTGTTCTGTTGTAACAGCTGTGTGAACTTATCGACTGTCTATAAATTACATTGCAAATAATGATCATTCTCCAAGCATGACGTGCTGTTTTGGAGCAAGAAGAACTTAAAAGATGGGCTGAGTGACCTCTGTTTATAATAGATGTGGGGGGTCAAAAGAAGATCTCTGACAAATTTCATACATGTTGAATGTTTGGCCATAGCATGTTAAGAAGCATATTTATTCTGATAAAGTTAAAATAGTCAGAAACAGCACATGGACATGACCTGTATGTGTATCTCAGTAAACTAGGTGATTCCACAGTAATTGCTGTATTGTATTTTCTCAGAGTTCATCAAAATACACCAGAATTTCCATCTTAAAATCACAAAAACTGTATACTGGAACGATGCTGCTGCCCCAGTACAGCGGACTGGTTTCTGAACTTCTCACCTTTTTTGATGCTCATGAGTTTTCATGTCTGTTGGAGACACATAACTGAGAAAATGTAACCAGTTTCTACCCAACTCTGTATGTTTGCTATTTAGGTTCTATCTAGGTGCTATCTAGATCCTAATTATAATATTCATAGTTATTTATTGTATTATTGTGCACTCATACCTGCATAAAAATTAAGTGAGTTGGGGGTTTGGGGACCCCCAGCAGGGTGTCATGTATGGCCCCAAAATGTTCAGAAGATCTAATTTGTTATTGCAAATATATAGCCAGCTCCATAATTATTGGCACCCTTGGTAAACATGGGAGAAAAAAGATCATTAAAGCATCATTGTGCTTAGTTCTCAGTCTCACACTGACAATAAGAGAGAAATCTAATGTCGTGATGTTTATGAAGTCAATTTGAAGTCTTATTGAAACCTCTAGCTTAGCCAATCAGTATTTCATACCGGATTCAACTAATACCACTTTGTCTGTGTTCTTATTTATAAGGGTTTCTAAATAAAAACTGACATAATTATGAACTGTTTACATTACATTAATGAGGCTCTGAAATTGATCAATTAAACAGGGAGTTTTTCCTACTGTGTGGAAGTTTGCAGTAATCGCACATATTCACAAACCAGAAAATCACATTGATATTAACATTGATATGACCTACAGGCCCAGAAGCTCCTCCCTGTCTGATCTAAATTTGCAGGAAAATGGGCAGCATTTATTAACAGCCCTGTTACTCTTCATCCTTTGCAGTTTCAGTTTAGGAGGTATTACTGCACCAAATCTGCTAATTGCTATTTGTATTTATTCATTAATTAATTAATTAATTTATTTATTTATGTTTTAAGGGAATGAAAAAATCATGGTTGGTGCACTTTTTTATTTAAGGAAAGCCAGTAAATTATAACATTTTACTTGACAGGTTTTTAACTTGTTAATATATTACCAGCAACTATTAAATAGATGAAGTCTTTTTTAGAAAAGAAAGAAAAGCGTATAAATATATAATTAATCATCTACATACTTAAATTATGGGGTCAGACTTCCACAAGGGTCAGTTTTGAGTCCACTGTTATTTAGTTTATATGTCAATGACCTTCCAGACATCTGTCCTCCTGCTGTTACTTGTCAGATCTGTGCAGACGACAGTTATTTATGTGCATGTAAACGATAAGCAGCTTTTAGATGCAGTGATACAGACACTGATTTCAGACAGAATGATCATTTGAACATTTGAATGTTGAAAATGAATGAGAAAACTATCTGTATGATTTTGTAAGTTAGGTTGATGCTAATATTGATCCAGAAGTATTTATACAAGAAAAGAAGTTTAGAGTCATGTGTGAGTTTAAATATCTAGAGTTGAAACTGAATTCACAGCTGTCTCTTAAAAAGCAAATAAAAAAACAAAGTGTAAAATGGTTAAATGTAATTTTTAGTTTATTAGATTTAATTTATTATCCTCATATCACTTATCATAAAACAAGCTGGACACAGACATGTTAGACTGTTCTTAAGCCATTTGAGACAATATATAAACAAGCTTTAAAAGCCTTTGATAAAAAGCCAAATCAGCATCATTATTGTAATAATTTAGTCAGTTTTACGTTTTAGTTTTAAAATCCTAAATGGTCTCATCCTTTTAGTATTTGGAGAGTTTGATTGTAGGATTAAAAACAGGCCATCAAGGGCGATTACAAAAGACGACTGCATAATACCATTTGGAAAAGTGCTTTTGGTCAGTCTGGATTTTATTTTCACGCATGATTGAAATTCTCTCCCTGCTGATTTAAAATATTTATAATCAATGATTTGTTTAAAAAAAAGGAAAAGATTAAGAAATGATTACTGGAGACTCAAACCTGCCAACATAATGTTTAATTATATAATGCTTTTGTGTTTCGTGTGCATTTGTGTTTTTTGAGTTTAGTTTAATGTGTTTTGTAATTAAGCATTTTAAATATTGCTTTGTGGTTTTGATTTTGTCAATGTGAAAAGCTTTGTTTACTTTAAATTTTATACACTTCATAATCTCTGTTTGTGCCTTCAGTTTGACATTAAAATATGGCAGAGAGAGAGAGAATGTGCATGAGTGTAGGAGAGAGAGTGTATATGAGGGAGAAACAATGTACATGTGTATGTGTGTGAATGTGGTTATAGTTTTATGTAGTGTTGAACTGAGTGTTGCTGTAATATTCTATTATTCTGTTTGTGTGTGAAATTATGTTTATGAATGTTAAAGATGTGAGTTTTTCTTCTCTCTACAGTCTGTCTGACTGCAGTATTACAGAGGAAGGCTGTGCTGCTCTGGTTTCAGCTCTGAAATCAAACCCTTCACACCTCAGAGAGCTGAATCTGAACAGCAGTAAACCAGGAGAGTCAGGAGTGAAGCTGCTCTCTGATCTACTGGAGGATCCACACTGTAAACTGGAGAAACTACAGTGAGTTACTGAATTACTGTCTCTGTATAAACACACTAACACACCAACAGAAGATGTTATGAGAACGATATACAAAACAAGGTGGAAAGTACTGAATAACATCATTAGATACGTCATTATACATGTAATTAAATAACAATTACAAAGAGCCTTTTTTTCTTGCACCAACTTAAAAATGTGGGGTCTTAAGGCAAAGAGTGTCTCAGATTTATACAGCTATGATAGAAAACATGCTCACCTTCTCCATCACTGTGTGGTTCAGGAACTGTGAGCTCTGCCTCAAAGATCATTGGTAAACTGTAAAATCCTCTGTGTTAATTTCACTTGCTTAGTGTTAAAATTAACACCATCCCAGTGTTTATATAATTCTCACCGTTTTGGAGTTAATATTACACTTTGGACAGTGTGAACATTTCAACTCATTAATAGTGTTAAATTTCTAACACTCACAGTGTTTTATGACACGTAAAAGAGGACTTTTAACACTGAACTGTGTTTTTCCCTTTCAGTAGGAGTGTTACTTCCTGACACTCACAGTGTTGTTTTATGACACAATATTTTTGAAGAGTTTATCTCCATATTAATGTTTGCACTGCACTTCCACCATGTTTTCACCAAATATGAAAATGCTTCCAGACTCTCCTGCAAGGCTACAGAAAATCAGGTTGAACAATCACGCTGTAAATCTCCTTATTCTCTGTATTTACATAGGTTTACAAAATTTGGCCCCACATGACTTAAGTGAACAAGTATAATAAATCATTAAAACAAACCAACATTAAACTTTTTATTCAGGAAAAAAATCTTCCCCGCACCATGGGGTACAACTCATATATGCACAGTTACAAAGAAAATAAAGACACTAATCACACACACACACACACACACACATACATACATACACATATATACACATATAATCTTATCTCCACCTTGAGCACTCTGTAAGTCAAAGGTCTTACTTGGTAGACATGAAAATGTTCACATCGATGTTTCTTGTTGTCTGCAAGAAAGTGTAAAGCTGGGCCAGGGACTCATCATAAGACAGGCTGAACACATAGAGGCCTTTAAACAGTTTATCAAAAGCCCCCAACAAGCTGGTGGGATGAGCTGTTTGTCCACAACAATGTGGAAAGGATCAATTCTGTTCTGGGTTCGGCCAACAGCGAGGATGTATGGTTATCTTCCCTCTCTTCGTCGAAGATGTTCATTGATGCTGCAGCATGACTGAAAAATAGAACAAACACCTTAAAGTGCATCAGATTCTTATCCAGACAGTGGTATTTACTCCACCACGCTTCAGTGTAATAGATCCTCCAGTTGGACCAGTCGGCGCAAGAACATGCACTTTACTGGGAGTTTGTCCCAAATGAATGTCTCTCTCTCTGTTTATTTGGAAGGAAAACACTGTTTTTGCAAACACACCTCTCTGGTGTGAGAAAATGCCTTTGCAAGGTGTTTAATATAACTGAAAAACTGGCGCATGAGATTGTAACAGATGAGACATACGTACCTTGTGAAAGTGCATCAATTTGTCCTCCATCACTGGGACTTATTTTTATTCTCTTTTGTCCAGCTGTGGGAGTCAAGAGATAGAAAAGGAGCAGCAGAGAAGCCATGTCACTGTCCCAGTCTACCAGGCGGAAAACCAAGTCATTAGTATCTACTTCAGATGCACAAATTAAATAACACCAGCTATTTAGAATATAAACCAAGCATATAATGCAGCTGACTGGTGTCACTGATGTTCTCTGCAAGTTTCTCAGCAGTTTGGTTGACTGAGTCAGGTGTTTGGCCTCTTCAATAACCTTGGGCTTGAATGCTGTCTCCCACTTCTCAAGCCTCCTGGAGGCTGTTTCAACACCAAACAGCAGCCGGAAGTCTTGATTTAGCTGTTTCAAATACATTAAGCCAATGGTCAGTGCACTGTACACTGCTTATGTCTAACAAAGTTAAAGGCTGGAGTTTCAAAGGAAATACTCACTAGTCCTATAACATCTAAAGCACGTGGGAACGTTTCAAAAACATCTGTGGTTTGCTGTGGGTCATGCACCAGGCCTGGCGATGCTGCAAGGTCAATACCTTCTGAAACACACTTGTTTCTTCAGGACAGTTAAACAAGAAGTGATACAGCCTCCCTGCAGGCATCTTCTTGAAGCTACTGAGGCACTGTGGCTGCTGATCTCCGGCGGTTTGGGCCTTGTGCTTGAGGCACTGTGGCTGGCTGTTGAAATATGTTTCTGGACATGGTGTTGAGATGCCATGCTAAATATCCTGTGCACCCATCATAGAAGTGCTCCTGTTAAGGCAGGTTTTTTAGAAATACAATTGCAAAGGTCCATCATTCATTGATCCTACAGAAAGAGCTATTCTGACAGCATGGTGAATGAAAGTGTGTTTCAAATATATGTGATTTAAGTGTTAAAGTAACGAGCCACTCATTCTCCTTCCATCTCCTTACTTGCATCTCTGAGTAGTAAACTGTTGGAATAAAAGATTAATTTTAGAAACATTTGTTATATTTCTTGAAATATACTTTACTGCCTGATAGCAATCATTAAACTGAGTGCTCTGAAAAGAAAAAGAAAAAAACTACTTCTTTGTGGGGCCAGGTGGCTGTAAAAACCCTGTATAATCATTTCATTCAGACCCAATGGGACCTGCCCAAATGCACGCACTATGCACATGTACTCACTCATTTGCCCATGTGTGGAGCCCATTGTATGTTTGTTAAAGAGCCTGAATATGGGTGGGTTTTCCGAGAGTAAAGTGGGGTTTGCAGTTTGTTTTTAGCGAGGGGAGGCTGTGTTGTCAGCCTGTCTAGCTAACAGTTTGGGGACTGGAAACAAGCAGTGAGTGCCTGTTCTTTTGTTTTGCTGTGTTCTGTGGTGAGTTTGGCAATGAAGCCGAGCAGATCAGACCCGAGACTCTGGAGTTTCTTTATGATTTGATATGTTAGCCTATATTGGGTTTGAGTAGGACGTTTCACAATTATATGATGTATCTAGGTTATTTTTGGTTATCTGTACTTATGAGAAAGATTCTTCAACTTCCACACCTTCAAAGCATCGATTTATGAAATCTTCACCCCCGCTGTTTCCACCAGTTTTTTCAGGGTCGCCTTCCGACGGGTGGTCTCCCTGACGTTACTAATCAGGCTGTGCACATTTGTGTTTTGAGGGAGTAGTTTTAGAAGGAAGGCTGAAAGTAGGGGGTGGGATTTTTTGTTTGGAATTTTTAAAAACCTAGATAACACTTCATGGTTTCCATAAATTCATCTACTCCACCTTTAAATTTGGGCATCCAGATTACATTGAAACAGCTAACATGCAAAACTAAATTAGCTACTATCCACCAGCTTCAATAACACGTCAAATCACATCAAACCCCACTTGACGTTAACCCTTAGTTTATGTAATGATTAACGGCTTGTATAAGTAAAATATATTCAGTCGTTACCTTTTTAAATCATATATTTCAGGTGCTGGGTTTTCTCAGCCTTCACTGTAAGCTCAAAAAAAAAAGCGTGACTTAAGGTGCTCAGTTAACACCCAAATCAACACCCATCAACACAAAATAATTTTCACTGGACAGTTAACACCAGTTCACACTCCTAGTTTTGCAGTGTAGTGAACTGACCATCTGAGAGACTCAGGGCTATTAAAGTAAGAACCTCGCTGTTTCTTTGCACTGACTGTAAGATGGTTCATGAACTGAACAGCTCTTCGGTCGATCCATCACGAAATGTTGATTTTTGTTTTCAGTGTATTTATTATCATACAGTGCTGCTTGAGTGTCTGTGTGGATTATCTGTTGCTCCCTGTTGATACTGTAATTGTAGTTATTCTGTCCAGTTAGTCAGCAATAATGTTAGCATTGTGTTATTGTTACAGTGTTTGTATCATGACTATGTGTTCTGTATACAGACCCCACAGTAGCCCACATTGTTATATGTGTCTTAGTGAGGATTATATTTGAAGAATGTTCTGTAAAGAGTCAGTGCAGAGCTCAGACTCCTCAGTGTGGATGATAAGCCTTTATTTCTGCACTGAGAAAGAGCCTTTACCTCCCTGTGCACATCTTCTGCTATAAGCTCTTTGTCGGGAGTCTTTCCACATGTTCACCCACCCAGATGTGTAAATTATCATTGTTTGTAGTGAAGATAATCAGCTAAACTTCAAAACTGAAATAGATTTAGTTTATTTCTGTGTTCTGTTGTAACAGCGGTGTGAACTTATCGACTGTCTAAAAATTACATTGCAAATAATGATCCAAGCTTAATGTGCTGTTTTGGAGCAAGTAGCACATAAAAGCTGAGCTGAGTTACCTCTGTTTATAATAGATGTGGGGTCTCATGTTGAACGTTTGGCCTTAGCATGTTAAGAAACAGATTTATTCTAATAAAGTTAAAATAGTCAGAAAACAGCACATGGACATGACCTGTGTGAGTATCTCAGTAAACTAAGTGATTCCACAGTAATTGCTGTATTGTATTTTCTCAGAGTTCATCAAAATACACCAGAATTTCCATCTTAAAATCACAAAAACTGTATACTGGAACAATGCTGCTGCCCCAGTACAGCGGACTGGTTTCTGAACTTCTCACCTTTTTTGATGCTCATGAGTTTTCATGTCTGTTGGAGACACATAACTGAGAAAATGTAACCAGTTTCTACCCAACTCTGTATGTTTGCTATTTAGGTTCTATCTAGGTGCTATCTAGATCCTAATTATAATATTCATAGTTATTTATTGTATTATTTTGCACTCATACCTGCATAAAAATTAAGTGAGTTGGGGGTGGTTTGGGGACCCCCAGCAGGATGTCACTGAAAGTGCTCTGCAGTTTCAGTTTAGGAGACTTTACTGCACCAAATCTGCTAATTGCTATTTTATTATTTTTATTTTTATTTATTTTAAGGAAAGGAAAAAAATGTGGTTAGTGCACTTTTTTATTTAACAAAACCCAGTAAATCATAAAATTTTACTTGACAGATTGTAACTTGTTAATATATCACCAGCAGCTATTAAATAGATTATGTCCTTCTAAGAAAAGGAAGTAAGGTGTATGAGTATATAATTAAAAATCTACATACTGGAATTAGGAGCTCAGACTTCCACAAGGATCAGTTTTGGGTCCATGGTTATTTAGTTAATGTGTCAGTGACCTTCCAGATGTCTGTCCTCCAGCTGTTACTTGTCAGATCTGTGCAGACGACAGTTATTTATGTGCATGTAAATGATAAGCAACTTTTAGATGCAGTGATACAGACACTGATTTCAGACAGATGAGCAAATAATATTTACAACTGAATGTGGAAAAAACCATCTGTCTGATTCCGTAAGTTAGGTTGATGCTAATATTGATCCAGAAGTATTTGTACAAGTAGAGAAGTTTAGAGTCATGTGTGAGAAGGGCTTTTGGTCAGTCTGGATTTTCTTTTCATGCATCGCATGAATTAAGAAAAGATTATTGGATACTCAAATCTGCCAACAAAATGTTTAATTATGATGTTTTGTAAATCTTCTGTTTTGTGAGTTTACTTTAATGTGTTTTGTAATGAAGCATTTTTAATATTTTTTGTCAATGTGAGAACCTTTGTTTACTTTGTTTGTTTTTCAACCTGCCCAGAAACTGCCATTTAGCCATTTAGCTAAATCTGCCACATTTATGTTCTAAAAATAATGATGTTGTTAAAAACAGCCCAAAAACACCACAGATCTTCCACTGTACTGAACAGTGGGACGAGGTTCTTTTCAGTATAACTATCCTTTCTTTTACACTAAACCCATTGTAAGTGTTTTTACAAAAAAGGTCTTTTTCTCTCTTATCATAGAACAGTTTCGGTCCTCCAGTAGTGTCTAGTGAACTCCAGACACTGAAGTTTGTGTTTTTAATGAAAGAAAAGATTTTCATCTGATGCACTAACTATTCTAACTGTTCTGCTCACTGTGTGGTGATAAAATACAATGGTTTCCTCTTTTAGGCAGGACACTGCAGATACAGCTGTTTAAAGTGATTAATTATGACCCTAATAGTGTAAGGAAATAAGGCCCTTTACATTTTCTGATTTTTAAGCTCAACACACTTTAGATTGTTTATTTTTGAGCTGCACAATACTGACATAAAATGTGATGTTAGGTAAAGTTGTCAGATATCACAGTGACAATAAGAGAAGTAATTACTATTAAAATAATGTCTCTGGCTGGATCTGACGTAAGTACAGACATTTTTTGGATGTGTAAACACAAATCTAGCTAACCTCTTTAAAGTCAACTTAAAATCAAAATGGACCTTTTTTTACATTGTTAGTTTTTCCTTTGACTATAAAAATGGGTGTCATATTAAAGAGACAAAATTCTTGTTTCTCTGATGTTTGGTTGCATCATTTTGAACCAACAACATATACCAACTAATAATATCTTATTATGTTCACTCACTCAAATAAAAGATTTCAGAAAAAGAATTTTGTCTTTTGAATGATATGAAACAACAGATTGAGCTTAATGTTCCCCTCTGCACCAGTTCAGCATCTGCACTGGTAACAAAAATACATCTCACACATCCTCAAACACCAGAGCCACGACTTTATAATCTCTCTTAGTGGCTTCACTTTGAAATGAAAATATGGCAGAGAGAGAGAAAATGTGCATGAGTGTGGGAGAGAGAGTATATGAGGGAGAAAGAATGTATGAGAGACAGTACATGTGTATGTGTGTGAATACAGTTATAGTTTTATGTAGTGTTGTAGTGAGTGTTGCTCTAATATTCTGTTATTCTGTTTGTGTGTGAAATTATGTTTATGAATGTTAATAAAGGTCTGAGTTTTTCTTCTCTCTACAGTCTGTCTGACTGCAGTATTACAGAAGAAGGCTGTGCTGCTCTGGTTTCAGCTCTGAAATCAAACCCCTCACACCTCAGAGAGCTTAATTTAAACAACAATAAACCAAGAAGGTCAGGAGTGAAGCTGCTCTCTGATCTACTGAAGGATCCACACTGTAAACTGGAGAAACTACAGTAAGTTACTGAATTACTGTCTCTGTATAAACACACAAACACACCAACAGATGTTATGAGAATGACACACAAAACGAGGTAGAAAGTACTGAATAACTTAATCTTGTGACAGTACTTGAGTGCATTGATTGCACTTTTAGAGTATAATGAAATCATAGTCCTTTTACTTGATCTTATTTCTAATAAAGTAATTTTACTTCACTTTCTGTGAAAGTGATTTATTTTTCACTTTCACACAAACAAAACGCCTTATCTGAGAACCAAACCATCAGAACGTCACTCACCAGAATTTGAAAAAGTTTTGTGCTGTAATATTCAGATCATTGTTTGATCTGGGATGCATTTCACAAAAGCTTAGTTGGTAAGTTCTGTTGGAAGAGCTGTTAGATGAGCGAATGTTCCAGAAAACCTTGAAGAAACATTCAGAACCAGTGTCTCAGAGCTGAACAGTTAGCAGCTTAGTTTCTTGTCAAGTTTTGATGAAAGTGTCAAAGATTCTGTAGGTTTGAATCAAACAAGGAAAACATGCTGTGAGATTTGTGCATTTTGTTCACAGTCTCACTCAACATAATTATTTGTTTATTTTTTCTCTTTCTTACAAGATATTGTTGTTGCAACAAGCTGTTTTGCATGTATTGTGTTGTATTTTTGGAAGTAGCTGCTTTTTATTGTAGTTTTCATTTGCATGGCTAATTATGAATAGTGGTAAGACTTCACAGCACTCTTTCATAGTTAATAAGTAACTAATCAGGAACTAAGCAGGGACGAATGAGTAGTGCTGCATTAACACTGAATTAACACATTAGAATAACTGCTCATAAATTACTGATCAGTTCAACATTAATTGCACAATAGGGGAGTTTTACAAGGTTCCTAACTACTAACTGATGTAGTGTATTCCAGCACTTCTAACAGCATTAAAATACACTACACAGCGTGTAGACTATAAAATATGAAAACATGTATCTCCAGAGAAGTCGGGGGCACCACACCACACTGTACTGACTGGTGTCCCTTTTGTGTTGGTTTTGATCAGAAACCTTCTGCATATTTGGCAGTGTGAACTAATTTGTACATCAGCGTCCAAATGGGACAACTGCTAAAATACTACAGTATTCAGTAGACCAGTCTGCTCACCTCTCATCTTTAGAAAACACTGCAGGAGCAGGTGTGACAATGTTGTTTCTTCTGAACAGTAGTTCTCCTTTAAAGTCCTCTTGAGGGCAGAGTCAGTTGAAGAGAGGCTCACAGAAATATACGGCTGTGTATGTGTCCCACTTTCAAATTCACTTAGTTCTAAATGTTACCAAGTGATTATGTAGTTATTGTTTGTTTGATAATGAATGCGGTGTTGCTGTTACCATGTGTAAATCTTTAGTTCACTATTAACTGTTTAGTTAAAAGTGAACTACCCTAATCATTAGTTCACTATTACCTACTGCATAATTAATTAGTACTTCTTTGTAGTTAATAGTAGTTACTTAAGTGTTAATGAAGCACTACTCATTCATCCCTGCTTAGTTCCTGATTAGTTACTCATTAACTATGAAACAGTTTTGTAAAGTGTTACTGGAAAAGTTGTGAAGTCTGTCTGTGGATCGCCTTGGCACATCTGGTAAAGTGAGGTGTAACAAGCCTACCTGGCAATCGTCTGAAGTTTTCAAGTGCAAAATATGCATTTATTGTGAAATGTAATTTTATTTTGATCACAAAGGGTAAAATAGCCCCTAATCTAACAGATATGACCACTATTTAGGCTAGTTTAGGCTTTATGCATTTAAGTTCAAAGCACTTTATTTTTCATAATAATGTAATGTTCATTTAATGTAAGATGTGAGTAAAAGTTGCTTTCATGTAAATTTTCACACTACAAACATCAAACTTATGGTAAATGAATATCAGTCCCAAACATCAGTTATCTGTATTCATGATTACTAATAACGGTATCAGTTTTGGCCCTGAAAAAATCATGTCAGTCAAGCCAGACAACAAAGTAAAGGTACAAATACTGATTCAAATATTTTATTATTTTTAATTCACTTTAAAGTTGTCCCACATGTAATATATCGTAGATAATATGGGACAGTGCTGAAGATCTTGAAAATGAATCTGACTAAAACTCATTGAGAAACATTAATGTACAACTCTAACATACATCTTTTACAGTGATTTGCTGTGAGAGATGATTCTGGTGTCTTAAAAAATAGAGAAGTTGTCTTTATTACACTTTTGTTACAATAAATGCACTGAAAGCATTTCAGTGCTAAACAATATCAGCAGCTCATGAGGCACAACTAAGAGTATGTATTACAGAGGAGAGAAGCACAGAACCAGTAAAAAAGAGGGAGAACCCAGCAAGAGATGTACTCGGAAAAATGCAAGAAATAAATGTAAGAATAAGAAATATATACTCATAAAGGTCTCAGCCTTTCCTGGATGCTTGTTTTTAGCAAAGCTTAATAGCATCACATGTTTAAGATTATTATTTTTTAATATTTCACAGTCTTCCTAGTCTTAAATTGCCCTGTCTCCACTTTTTGGAACATTTTCCAAGTATCAGCGTCAGCATGAGTATATTTACAGAATGAATGACGTTGATAAGATAAAACATCAAACACACAGCCATTCTGTAGTACTTTCAGTAAAATGCAGGTCAACTTAGATTAAAAAATTACTACTTTCTGCATTTATTTGCCGTCTACACACTGTACCAACTTCATAAAATTGCTTTTGTACATTAGTGTGTCTGTGTGTGTGAGGGGGAGAGAGAGAGAGCGAGTACAGCCATTAGTGTGTGTGTGGATCTTAAAGTTGTGTTTTTGTAGTTTGTTGTTTCTCATTTACTTTTCATTTTATCTGCTAAATTCATGTTCCTGTTTGAGGTGTCAGTGTTTCTGATAGATCATCATTTCTCTCTCAGGCTGTGGGGTTGTGATCTCACAGAGAGAAGCTGTGCAGTTCTTTCCTCAGCTATCATGTCAAACTCCTCAAGTCTGAGAGAACTGGACCTGGGTTTTAATAAACTGCAGGATTCAGGAGTGAAGCTGCTCTCTGCTGGACTGAAAAGTCCACACTGTAAACTGGAGGCACTGGGGTGAGATGAAGACTTTCACTCACACACTTTTTTATCCGCTATCAGTTTTTACTGAGAATGTTTTGTGTGTTTGTGCGACAAAGATATCTTGTTTTTCTTCTGTGTTTGCGTGAGACGATGTATAACACGTTAGAGAGTATGTACATTAGTGTGTGTGTAAGAGACAGTATGTACATTAGTGTGTGAGAGAGTATGTAGATTAGTGTGTGTGAGAGAGAGTATGTACATTAGTGTGTGTGAGAGAGAGAGTATGTACATTAGTGTGTGAGAGAGTATGTAGATTAGTGTGTGTGAGAGAGAGTATGTACATTAGTGTGTGTGAGCGAGAGAGTATGTAGATTATTGTGTGAGAGAGAGAGAGTATGTACATTAGTGTGTGTGTGAGAGACAGTATTTACATTAGTGTGTGAGAGAGTATGTAGATTAGTGTGTGTGTGAGAGATAGTATGTAAATCAGTGTGTGAGAGAGAGAGTATGTACAATAGTGTGAGAGAGTATGTAAATTAGTGTGTGTGAGAGAGAGTATGTACATTAGTGTGTGTGTGAGAGAGTATGTACATTAGTGTGTGTGAGAGAGAGTATGTACATTAGTGTGTGTGAGAGAGTATGTACATTAGTGTGTGAGAGAGTATGTACATTAGTATGTGTGAGAAAGAGTATGTACATTAGTATGTGTGAGAAAGAGTATGTACATTAGTGTGTGAGAGAGAGAGTATGTAGATTAGTGTGTGAGAGAGAGTATGTACATTAGAGTGTGTGAGAGAATATGTACATTAGTATGTGTGAGAAAGAGTATGTACATTAGTATGTGTGAGAAAGAGTATGTACATTAGTGTGTGAGAGAGAGAGTATGTAGATTAGTGTGTGAGAGAGAGTATGTACATTAGTGTGTGTGAGAGAGAGTATGTACATTAGTGTGTGTGAGAGAGTATGTACATTAGTGTGTGTGAGAGAGTATGTACATTAGTGTGTGTGTGAGAGTATGTACATTAGTGTGTGTGTGAGAGTATGTACATTAGTGTGTTTGTCTTTTAATGATTGTTTTTGTATTTTGTTTTTTCTCATTTTCCCTTCATTTTATCTGTTGAATTGATGTTCATGTTTGAGGTGTCAGTGTTTCTGATCATCAGTTCTCTCTCAGGCTGTGTTACTGTGATCTCACAGAGAAAAGTTGTGCAGATCTGTCCTCAGCTCTCAGCTCAAACTCCTCAAGTCTGAGAGAACTGGACCTGGGTTACAATAAACTGCAGGATTCAGGAGTGAAGCTGCTCTCTGCTGGACTGAAGAATCCACACTGTAAACTGGAGATACTGAAGTGAGTTCATTACTTCATCTCTTTGGATTGAAACCTTCATATATTAAGGAGACATAAAATTATCATCACTTTCATTTCAACACACATGCACAAATTTGTATTTTCTTAGTTTCTATTAAGAATGTTTTGGGTGTGATTTTCTGATATATTTTTGTTCTGTGTTTGTGAGATGATCTTTATGAATGTTAGTAAAGATGTGAGTTTTTCTTCTCTCTACAGTCTGTATAACTGCAGTATTACAGAGGAAGGCTGTGCTGCTCTGGTTTTGGCTCTGAAATCAAACCCCTCACACCTGAGAGAGCTGAATCTGAGCTCCAATAAACCAGGAGAGTCAGGAGTGAAGTTGCTCTCTGATCTACTGGAGGATCCACACTGTAAACTGGAGAAACTACAGTGAGTTACTGAATTACTGTCTCTGTACACATATTCACTCAGTGGATGATCTACAACATTTTAGACCTCAACCTCCTCCATAAACACACACAGACACACAGATTGTCATGTGTGATGGATCTCGAGGTCTGTATGAGGAATGAATCAGTGTGTTCAATACAGATTGTGTGGGGTTGTGTTGTTTGAGGTGTTCAGTGAAGTGTTCTGATACAGCTTCTCTTTTGTGTGAAATGATTCTTATTTGAATATGTGGTGTTTGTAGTTTTTGATGTGATGCTATCCTGATGCCTCTGGTGTCTTTTTTTACTAAGAATGTGAATTTCCTCATAGTGAGTTTCAGGCAGACAAAGACAGAGAGCTTTCTTTATATAATGACTTTATTTATTGCTGGTGTTTTGTGTGAGAGAGAATTGAGTTTGTGTGCTATATTGGAAATACTCTAGAAATTTCAAAAGCTAGAAATTTTAAAATATTTGGACCACACCAGCATAATTTGTTAAATATTAATGTTAATCTTGTCACAACAGCACAGAGACGCTTTGTCACACTGCCTTTCTTCAGTGTGTCAGTGAGTTACTGTTGTGGTGGTTAATTGCTTCTTAGTTTAATCCACCTTGTTGACTGAAAATGTTTTGCTTTGACTCCCACAAAATAAAAAGACAGTAAAAGAGTAAAGTTTAGATAAAGCTGACCTGTAGGGGGCGACTCACACAGAGAGAAATGAATACACACAACACTAAATCAACATTCTAGCTGAGGCTCCTACAGCTGTCTTCATGAGTGAGTCTGTGAGAGAATCAGAGCTGTTTATTGGTTTATTAGTGTTGATGAGGCTGTACTGTTTATCTAGTGATGGTGTTTATCCTGATTGTGTCTGTGTGTGGAGTCTGAGTGCTGACTGTGATCAGTGTGTGTTCATGTCTGATCATTCTGTCCTGTTTCCTGTTTTACAGCATCAAAACACACACCTGACCTGGTCTGAGTCTCACACACACTGGGGGTTATGAGGAGAGGATGAAGTCTTATAGAACACACACACACACACACACACACACACACACACACACACACAGTGTGTGATCCTACATGGTAATCTGTGTGTTTTCGGGTCTTTATTGGTCAAATATGTGAACACAGCTGCAGCACAGAGCTGTGTGCTCTCCCCTTGACATCACTTCCTGTTTACCAGTGACCGCACCTCCAGCGTCCTGTCCGTCAAACTCCTCCCGTTTGAGGACGAGCCCACATTGGTGATGAGAGCGCGTACAGGAGGAGGAGAAGAGCCTGGTGTTCTGATAACAACGTGAGGTCGACACTCAAACCAGTGGAAATGTTGATAGACTTTAATAAACTCCCTCTAGAAATCAACACTGGAGTCACGAGAGTGGAGGAGATCTTCAAGATCATGAAGACACCATCTCAGACACACACTCACAGATATGAGAGCACAGAGAGGCTCCTGAAGAGCAGCTGAATGAGCTGAAACTCTGCTGCTTCCTGTGTTGTATTAGTGTGAAGTTTCTGAGATCAGGATTTTGCTTTCATGATGTTTTTACTACATTTAAACAGTCAGTGCTCAACATGCTGGGACATCATGTCTGTCAGTTCCTTCTGTGGCTGTATAGAAGCTTCTAAACACCTGCTTTAAAAATGTACATAAAAGTTTAAGACAGATTGGGCTGTTAAGCAGCTTGAATAGGTGAACTAAACAGTAACAGATCAATATCAGAGAAATGAAGAGCTTTTTAAATATAACATCATTGACGTACATAGAATGTAGTTTTTGTCTGTCAGAAACTGAAGACTTTCAGTCGTGATGTTCAGTTTCAGATGATACTTCCTCACTACTGAAGGTCACTGAAATGTAGGGCCGCCCTGTTTGCCCTGTGGACGTCTTAGCTTTGACTAAGAATCTGAAAGTGGTGCCTCGACTTAAACTGGACAGGATCAGGCAAATAAACCATATTCTATTTTTCCATAAGATGATATTTTATTACATATCACTTCTGTTATGCCAGATTCCTGTGCTTCTCTTGATTATGATTAATATTTATGTCATGTAGAGTTTAATTCCAGTGTCATTTGTGCCAGTAGAAATATTGGTAACACTTTCTGTGAATGTCACCTTTGTAAGCATCTATAAACACATTTATAACATGTTATAATGCATTCATATGGCATTATAAACATGGTTATAAATATTTATTAAAATTAATTATACTGAATTACACTTTATAGTTATGTTTATTATACATTATGAATTGTTAATATAATGCATTATAAGTAGTGTTCATAACATCTTCTGGGCTTCAGTCCTGAATATTCAGATGCTCCAAACAGGCTGTTCAGCCTAGAATTGTTGCTACAATGTGCTTTGCTAACCAGCGCTCTCATTTTAAATGTTTCATTACATCATAGCAAACCAAGTAACCATCAGCCCCTCCCCTGAACATCACACTGAGTGTGAAGTCACTGTGGACTGAAGGCCTGGAGAGGGAGAGGCGAGATAGTCGAGTGCTGTCATTGTCATTTGTTTCCTCACTGGTTCTAACGTCAAACACTAGAACCCTTCACTCTGTAACACTACACTGCATTACACTACACTACAGTAATGCTAATCTCTGCTAGCATTCTATCGGATATGCAGTGTTAAGTTAGTGCCAAGCTAACGGTGGTGTACATTACCTTTCCCACATTGGGTAAAGCACTGATGGCAGCTCTAGTTTAAACTCTGACATCTGAAGCCTGTAATGTGCTTTATTTTGTGTGTTTTAGTGTTTCAGTACATCCTCTTCAGTAAATACTTCAACTTGAAGCCTCACTCTTAACACTGGAGGAGGCTTTAGTACAGTACGCTTCACTTTACTTAGAGCGGACAAATATTATGAGCTCTTATATAATTTGTTATGATCAGTACTTATAATGTATTATATTAACAATTCACAATGCATAATAAGCATGGCTATAATGTGTAATACATTTTTATAAATATTTTTAGCTATGTTTATAATGCCTTATGAATGCATTATAACATGTTATGAATATGTTTATAGATGCTTACAAAGGTGACATTCATAGAAAGTGTTACCGAAATATTTAATTACAGTAAAATTCAATGTACTTATTATTGGACTGTTCACTGTTTTACAATAAAAAATGACAGAACAACGTTTTGTGAGTGTTGTCTTAATGATTAATCTTGTCAGAAATTTTTCTCCACTGTGTGTTCAGTTTCATTACTGCACCTCTTTTCCTGACGTAACTATGCACTGAGACCCTCTGTGTGACCCTCTGTGTTGTTTTTAAGAAATTAAAATTATTTTAAAATATAAATATGTTGTTGATAATAAGCTGATGTGGTGATTATGTGCAGATCAGATTCAGATTTGAAATATAAGAAGGTGGATCAGATCATAAATCAGCTGAAAGGGCGTCTTTCACCCTCAGTACAAAAAACATAAAACCTTCAGATAAAACAAAAATGCTGTGAATTACAGAAACATCCATAAATCTGTTTCACATCTGTGGAATAAAATGAATCTTTTTTTCTGTTTATTTGAGTTCAGCTCCTCACTGCTTCTTGTAAAGGCTTGGTCTGGGGTTGGGTTGTCTGTTATACTGATTTCGGCCACTAGAGGGAGGCACAGAGTGTCTCCTTAGTAATAAATGACGAGCAGCATCACCTGAACCTGGCCTTACTTAAGGGGAGCTCTTAGTCAGCTTGGTGAGCGACTGCACTCAATCCTGAATTGAGCCTGACCACCTGCCACAGTCGTCCTGCACAATAGAAGATGTGGGTCTGATTCCACCTCAGGCCTGTTGACTTGTTACAACTTCTAAAATCAATCTTCAAATAAGATCTATTGATCACTGCATTAATCAGATCCACTTACATTCTGAAAACGCTGATGGAAAGATCTGTTAAAGTGCTGCTGTGTAGGAACACAAGAGAGACGTGTAAGTTGTTTAGTCTGAAAGGTGGGATTGAAGGAATTTGTAAGTTGCTTAATGTGAAGAGGAGAACATCTATTATCTGACCTGTAAAAGTTACTCTTTATTGACTTTTTAAAACAGAAAGTAATTCATTTCTGTGTGCGGCTCTGTTTTTTCATCTGGTTACAGCAGCTGCAGGCAGAGTGATCCACCATAGAGTCTGTCAGGCAGACTGTCCAGCAGGGGGAGCCACAGCCCACCTCAGCCCCTCCCAGCCCCTCCTGGAGCTTCACTCTCACACACTGATCAATAAAACTCCCACTACTGATCTGGAGTGAGAGCTGGGAGGCTGTAGGAACGCTGCTGTGAGTTTCCTCACTGGTCATGTTGCTGCTGCAGGATTTCTCTCTGTAAACTGTGATAAAGACCACAGGAGAATCAGCTGGGCTTCATTCAGTGATCCACTCATTACACTGTTTTATACTCACATTTTATCCCTCAGAATCAACACAGAACCTGTTCTTATACAATACCATCCCATCATGATCCATTTCAGACTCCATAAGTCTTTAATCAGCATCATTAGTCTATAAACTGAGTCTCTTTAACATCAGCTTAGTCTATTAAACTCACAGCACTGTGACTCTGACACACTGACAGTCAGCTCAGGATACTAAACTCACATCCTGGAGGGCAGCAGCACTAAAGGAGGAAGTGAAACCAGCCCCCCCACCAGGACCCCCCACCCAGCTGAACACAAACAAACAGTTAACCAGTAACCAGGGGTGGCACCACAACCCCAAAAGTAGTGGAGCAATACATGTTTAAAAAAAACAAAAACAAAAAAACAGACAAACACAAAAGGCCGGCTGTGTGGTATTTTATGCAATTATGCCACTGACTAAAATTACCTTTCGTGTCTTGCTAATGACAGGTCTTTATTCAGAGGTGGGTAGTAACTAGTTACGTTTACATTCGTACATTAGGTTCATATACTTACATATACATTAGTACAATATTGATGGATCTTTACTCTCCTGAGGATTTTCACATCATAATACTTATATTAGTATATTAGTGAGTAAAGGAATCTTTTTACTCAGTTACATTTTCATATTTAGTTACAAATTAATTTTTTGTGTTTAACTTCAATGTGTTTTGATGGTGTCAGTAATTGTACTGCTTTGTGATACTGAGCTACTGAGACATTCCACAGCAGAACTCAGTACCTAAGAAGATTTCTGACCTGATACTTTTGAATTTTACGTTTTACGTTTACTTGTTTGATTATTTTATGCAAGTATCAATACTTTTACTTTCTCTCTCTCTCTCTCTCTCTCTCTCACTCACACACACACACACACACACACACACACCTGGGACCAAAACAGTGTATATCTCATTGAGATTTTTAAATCTAAGAATTAAAAATCTCACAAAACAGAAATGATTAAATAATCTATTATAGTATTATGATCTGATGTAATGACAGTTCAGGTAGAGTCATTTCCATAGAGAGAGCTGACTTTGCATTATCAGCACATGCTTCAGTGCTCTGGGAGAGTTTATAGTCCTGTGAGTTTAACACTTCATGACTGAGAGCTGCTGCCCCACAAACTTCACCCACAGCAGACATGACTTTGACCACCATCTTCATCTGGACTCTGATCTTCTGGACTCAAGGTAGATCACTGTTATATATTTAACTTTGTGAAGATGATTTTTAGGAATGCACTCTCTGGGAGTAGATTCATTTTTGTTAGATGTATTTAAATAATAGATTTTTAATAATACTAACAATCCTGATATTTAATTGCATTTATTTAATTTCAGGATCCAGAGGTCAGGCGACTGTGACTCAAACTCCTGCAGTGAAATCTGCTCTTCCAGGAGAAACAGTCACCATCAGCTGTAGAACCAGCCCTGCAGTTTATAGTAGTAACAGTCTAGCCTGGTACCTGTAGAAACCTGGAGAAGCTCCTAAACTCCTGATCTACACCACTAGCAGCTTACAGTCAGGAACTCCAGCTCGTTTCAGTGGCAGTGGATCTGGATCTGACTTCACTCTGACTATCAGTGGAATCCAGACTGAAGATGATGGAGATTATTACTGTCAGAGTTTACATCATATCAGCAGTGTCTGGTGGTTCACACAGTGATACAGAGCCGTACAAAAAGCTGTGAGAGTCAGAGACACAGAGGCTGCACTGCTGCAGCTGAGACCTACTGCAGGTGCTGAGGGGGAGGATGTGATACAGCACAATCACACACTCTGTGGAGGAGAGGAAACACACCACACTAACACACAACTCAACACACATCTATAAATATGCACAAAGCAATAATGCACACAGCATTTCAGCTCCACTTCTATGAGAGGAGTAGTTTAGTGGAGCTGGAGCTCATTCTAGTCCTACTGTTCATTTTAATTTACTAACTCATGTTTAGAGTTTATTCACTTATTTTATGGGATTTCCTTAAAGATCTACTTTCACGTATCTCGTTTTCACTGATCACGATTCTGGACTGTTTAAATGTTCTCTTGTTCTGCCCTCTCCTCGTCGCCTCTCCACCTCCCAGTTCCATTCACAAATTATGAAAAGTGTTTTAGAGACCCCCTGGTCATGCTGGTTTATGTTA